TCAAAAAAATTGTGATCGAGCTATGATCTCGATAAGTTTTAATAGAATTGATTCATTATTTATGTATACACAATTGTTAAAAGAAGCACTTTTGCAAATAGAAGATGATGATGCAAAATCGATTAAGGAACTCGTTGAATACTGTCGTCTTCAAAGCTATGCTTCCGAAACAACACTTGAAAAGTTTGAAGAAGAATATCGTAATCATTCACCCATTTGGTGGTACACAGGTCCATATTTTATCTACTCAATGCTCAATTATGGTCTTCGACAAATGGATGTTGACATCATCCTTAAAATGGGATTCTTCATACGTCATTTACATCAACATATTAAAGAATTACATAGTGAACAAGAAGGGAACATGCCAACAAATTTTCAACTCTTCCGTGGACAAGGTTTGTCCATTGAAGACTTTGAAACAATGAAAAAAGCCAAAGGAGGACTTATGTCCTTCAATAATTTTCTGTCAACAAGTCGCAACCGTGAGATATCTTTCAACAACTTTGCACGACCAGCAGCATTAAATACAAATTCAGTTGGCATCCTTTTCATTATGAACATTGACACGGGTATTTGCACGAAATCATCAACACCATATGCTGAAGTAAGCAAAGTTGGTTACTACAAAGGCAAAGAGGAAGAAATACTATTTTCAACACATGCGATCTTTCGTATCAATCGCATTGAACGACTTCCCGATAATCACTGTGATCGGCTATACGAAGTCACTCTCACTATTGTGGGTAATGACAATCATGAATTGAACACACTTACAGCACACATACGTAAAGACCTTGGTGATCGCACAGGATGGTCTCGACTTGGTTTCATACTTATTCAATTGGGTGAGCCTGCAAAAGCAGAACAACTTTATCAAATTCTCCTCGCAAAGGCGTCGTCTGATCAAAGTCAAGCGGAATACAATCATCAACTTGGTTGGGTGTATGATAACATGGGAGAGTACTCGGAAGCACTTTCATATTACGAAAAATCACTGGATATCTACAAGAAAATTCTCTCTCCAAACGATCTCAGTTTGGCTGGTTCCTACAACAACATCGGCCTGGTGTATAATAAGATGGGCGAGTACTCGAAAGCACTTTCATATTATGAAAAAGATCTTGAGATTACCAAGAAAGCCCTTCCTCCGAATCATCCCGACTTGGCTGCTTCCTACAACAACATCGGTAATGTGTATAATAAGATGGGCGAGTACTCAAAAGCACTTTCACATTACGAAAAGGCACTTGAAATCGGTAAAATAGCTCTCCCTCCGAATCATCCCTTATTCGCTAGTTGCTACCTCAACATCGGTATGGTGTATGATAATATGCGGGAGTACACAAAAGCACTTTCATTTCTTGAAAAAGCACATGAAATTGATCGTAAAACTTTGCCACCAAATCACCCAAATATCGCACAATCGAAAAGAAGCATAGACAATGTAAAAGAGAAACTGTAATTTTCCCTTTCGTTTTTAAAAAGAAAATAAAATGGCCTTCTTAAACCCAAGGCTCGCCGAAGCAAGCAGCTGCAAAATTTTGCGCACGCGCGACCAGA